GTTCACGCTACCCAATCAGTTCTTTTTTTTTTTTTTTTTTTTTTTTTTTTTTTTGGTACTGGGGATCAAACGCTGGTCCTTGTGCTCATGAGGCAGGAGGCAGAACCACTGAGCTAAATCCCCGGCCCCATTTTTTTCTTTTCTTTTGGCTCTTTCTTCCCTACTATCATTTCTTTTTTCCTTTTCCAAAATCCCGATGATAGGAATTTGGTTCTCTTGCTCCTTCACCTCACAAAAATCCATCATATTCTTTCCTTTCCCCTTTTCCTTATCCCCACTTGAAGCCCAGAAAGGAGGAAAAGGTTGCTGCAGAATGAAAACACTGAGAATTGCAACAGTTTGGTGTCATGGGCCAGTAGCACTCAGGGTCATCGTGCTGAAAGAGGGAATCAGCAGTGTTTATCACATGATAGTTTCTAAGACACTCTTATTTGCAATATATGTCCTGCCCACATTTTATTTTCAAAGCACTGTATATGCATCTTCTCAACTGATCTTATGTAAGAACAGTGTGACAGAGATCACTCACAAGACTACAGGTAAGGAAACTGAGGCTTAGAGAAGTTAAGAGGCTTCCTGAAGTCCCATAATTATAGAGTTTTCAAGAAGCAGGTTTGTGTGTGAGCAGCACTATATAATACATATAACTACAGATACTAATATTCATTTGAGCCCTTACCTAGAAAAAGTTAGCAATGCATGAGTTAGTTCCTTCACAGCATTAACATGAGTTAAGCCCCCATCTCTTTCTGGCAATAATATTACAAAAGATTAAACAATGGCTGATACTTACCGTTCGGAAGACCACTTTAAGAGTATCAGTTTTCTATCCTGTAGCCCTTGGCAGGATTCCCTTTTCATAGATCACAATGTTGGTGCAGGGCCAAGAGATGGTGAGGTTGACTCATAGGTCACTGCAGTTTATAAAAAGTCAGAATAATAAAAGGGAAGGCAGATCTGACATCACTGGCAAGGGAAAAATTTGTGGTGTTGTACTAAGCAAACCAATTACAGCCAGCTCTGAATAACATAGGAGGAGGAGAGCATACTGAACAAAGGCAAGAGCCCAAGAAGGAAAATGTCTACACACAAAGTCAAACTCCTACAATAAGTGTTTGCAAATACTCTCAAAACGGGCCATTAACTTCTTGTTTATCCTAAGGTCAAACAAAAAAACCAGAATCTGGTCAAGCAGACACCCTTTCTTAAGGATGAAAGAGGAAGTGCTTGATGATGAAATAATGAGAACACACACACACAAATACACAATTGATTTTTAAATTGGCTTTGCTGCAAGCTACATATCCAGAGGAAATGTTTCCTAAGCCACTGCAATCTGAAAAAATAAGAATAAATTTTAAGGTAAGTTCAGCTTTTAAGCTCATTTGGTGAAAACCAAATTCATCTACAATTATTATTAGACTTTGGACTGTAAAGGCCACTAAGAGTTAAAAGCAAACCAATGCCACCTTAAATCCATAAAGGGTTACTTTTATTAGTATAGTCTTGGGATTAGCGGAAATGTCTGTCTAATGAATGCAGCTACTATATTTGAGCACATGCCTGAATGAGCTACTTGTTGATTGAAACCTATCTATTTATAAGCGCTTCTGCATGCTGTGAAAAATCCATCTGCATATCCACAGCATGGCACCCACCATCTGAATAAACGCTTTTTGCCATCTCACCATAGAATCTGTTGAATGAACAGACAGAAAGGAGGTGTGTTGCATCCACTTACCAGGTTTTATTCCTCCCTCTTGGCCAGTAAGACGAGTTACCTTATCTAAACAGCAATTTAGATTGATGTGGATGTGATAAAAATGGGATGGAGGAGGGGCAAAGAAACACTTTCTATCAGACTCACCCAGGGTTTTAACCTAGAAGATTTAGTATAACTTGGATAAATGGTCACAAACAGCCCCAGCCAGCCAGACCCCTGCGTGTGTGATACTGAAACAGCCTGGAGAGGAGATGGATTCACTATATATACTTATCATTTCTGCTTTACCTTCTGCATATGAATGGCACACTAACAGCACATCCAACAGACACACCTACCGAACGGAAAGAACAGTCCTGATGAACAATTAAAGGGGTCAGTACCTGCAATCTTTGGGGCTCTCACGCTGCTGCACTGAACCCTTCATCCCTAAATGGGGCCTCCTAGTCCATGCTGGGCTCTGCAGTTCTGTGCCCCTTCCCCTAACTGCTCTCTAAGTTTCCTGAGGCTTGGTTTTGGGTGCTGAGAAAGGATCTCTCATCCCACTGGAGCTTATGTTCATTCCTTTGCACTTATAGACCCATCTACTATGCTACGTCTTTGAACAAAGGCTAATGAATTCAGTAAAATTTTAAAAGTAATAATCATAACAAATCACAGGCTATAATCAATTAAGACCTCACAGGATTTCTCTTGGAGAACTTTCTGAACGACAATGGGAAAACCATCCAGGTGTCCCATAGTTAGAAAGAGAAGACTGGTATTGGCCAGCTATTGGAAGCTTCGGCAAAGCAAGTTTAAAAAAAAAATGCAGGGTTTAATAGTCTTTGAATCTTGCCTATTTCTCTCTGTGGAGCTTGTGACTCTGACTTCCCCAATGATATCAAAAACTGACCTAGCAAGGTTCTTCTGAGGATGAACGATGATGCTACGTACAATGCCTGACACATAATCAGAACTCAGTAACTTTTAGCTATTATTATCATTATTACTCATGCTGTGGGCATAATAAAGTTAGAGGATCACATCTTTCTGTTTTTCTAATCGATAAAGCAAAACAATATTGCTAAAAACAGAAGTATTAATACTAGAAAACCAAAGCTGAAACTTATAAAAGATAAGCCACTTGGAAATACAAGCAGTTAGCCATCACAGAATGATACAAAGCCCTAAGACCCTTCATAATTGATAAAGAGATGTTTAAACAGGTATGCACTAGTAATTCTGAGGCTGGGGTAAAGTGAGAGACAGGAAGAACTCTAGGGAGGTACTCTTAGCACCATGAGAAAGCCAAGCAGCTCGAAAGCATTCACAGGCAGTAGAGATGAGGTTTTAATTGGAAAAACCCACACATACACAGTATTTCCTCCAAAGGAGGAGCTTTCCCTCCTTTGCCTCCTTATATATTTTCTTCAATCTTAAACCTCAAATAAATGGATGCACACTGAGGCCATACTCTTAAGTGAAATAAATAGGACACTCATGTAAATACCCAAGTTTCTCTGGTGTGAAAAACTAAAAGTGAAAATAAAGGGTCAGGTGTGGTGGTGCACTCCTGTAACCCCAGCACTCGGGAGGCTGAGGCAGGAGGATCGCTGTGAGTTCGAGACCAGCCTGGGCTACATATTGAGTTCCAGGTCAGTCTCAACTACACAGTGAGACCCTGTCTCAAAAAACAAACAAACAAACAAACAAAAAAGTGTAAATAAGGTTCAACTGGTATAACTGATAATGTGAACTAGGAAGAAAGGGGCTAAAGGAGTAGGGGAAGTGGGAATAGTAGGGGAAAGGCAAAAAGGGAAAAGAAAAAATATGAGAAAAGGAAAAAAGTCTTTTTTGTTTCTTTGTTTTTTGTTTTGTTTTTTTTTACAAAGTCTTTGTTAATAGGGAAGGGTGGAGGGGATGAAGCCGGGGCTGGGGAATGGGGAAAATATAAGAACCAATATACATCACATAAAGGTACAAGATCCCAGTGCTGAATGCAACTGTACTGTATACTTAAAAAGTGCCAATAAACTTAATGAAAAATAAAATAAAAGTGAAAAAACAGTAACAAAAAACCTCATTTAAGTAAGATTATAAAATATAGTTGCTCTAGGTCCTTTAAAAGAAGACATTAATAGTTGTCTAGTGTAGGGGAAATGGGAAGGGTACAGGAAAGGAAATAAGGGAAAAGAAAAAAATATGAGAAAATTAAAAAATGGACATAAAGTTTTTGTAAATAGGGAAGGGAGGAGGGGATGAAGGGAGGGCAGGGACAAGGGGAAAAAATGAGAACCAAGACCTGTCATGAAAAGGTACAAGATCCCAGTGATGAATGTAACTACTGTATACCTAAAATGCAGCAGTAAACTCAATGAGAAAAAAAAATAGCTGTCATTTGTGAGAACATCCCACAGTTAAGAGGGTACAAGGAAGCTGGATGCGGTGGTGCAAACTGGAAATCCCAGCACTGTGAGAGGCTGAGGCAAAAGGATTTCAAGTTTGAGCCTAGCCTGGGAAACCGAGTGACTTAGTAAGACTGTCTCCATCTTAAAAACGAAACAGGGCCAGGGATGTATCTTAGAGTCAGAGTCTTGGGTTCAATGCCCATTACCAAAACCAAACAAACAAAAAACTTTGACCCGAAAAGTCTGACCCAACACAGTAGGGTAGGAAAGGGCTGAGCGGAGATACTCTGGTTTGCTATTATTCTAATCATGGAAGTCTTTCAACGTGAACCCAAAGGAAAGCAAACTAACACAACTTTGAAGCTATACTTCAGTCTTCCACTTGATTCCTGAAATCCTTGTACCTTTTCACTAGTTCCTTCCTGCCCACTTTCTACTCAGCTTACAGTTCATTTTAAAACTTTCTTCCAGGACTGGACGTGGTGGTGCACACCTGTAATCTCAGCACTCGGGAGGCTGAGGCAGAAGGATCATCATGAGTTCAAGGCCAGCTGGAACTACACAGCAAGACCCTGTCTCAAAAAAAAAAACAGGTAAACAGAACTTTCTTCCATCTCTCCATGCAATCATCTACCTGTATATTCGCCCATCACTCACTCGCCCACCTTCTTCTCAATGGATTCCATAAAAAGGACTTAAACAGACACTAAATGTTAACTCCTGCCACTGTCTCATCTTTTTGGACTTTCTCACAAGTACTGTCTCTTTATAGGAGAAACTTGTGGGCATTAAGGTTTCTGAAATTTCATATACGGTAACAGAAAAGAGAAGCAAATGGCTAAGGAATGACAGCACATGGCACTAGAAAACATTCATAGGTGGAATTCATTAAAGAATTTTAAATGTCCGGAGTGCTTTATATTTATGGATTACAAAATGCTAAGTTTTCAAGTGCACTGGAAACTCACGAAGAACCTAGGAGTCACAATGATTTACATCTTTAAATATGAACATGGAAAAACACAAGGGTCAAGTGATTTATGCAGGGGACCCAAAATTTAGCAGTCCAAGCCAGTAACCGAATTCTTCACTATGACTTTTATTTCAATATTTGTTTCCATAGACATTACTAAGAAAGCACTTTACTTTGGCATTTTTGTAATGTGGCACCACTTACAGCTGCATTCACCCACAATAACCTTATTAAACAACGTCTTCCTGGCTGGCAGTACACAGCAGGAGGAGGTAACAGCCTGCACTAGTGGCTAACTGTTGAGTTGTAATTGGGGTTATGTCATACTTTCTCTTGCATTGTCTTGATTTAGAAGTTAAATCATGCTCATACTTCCAATTTAGCCAAGTTTATATCTTTCTGACACAAACACAGAGTTTTAAAGAAGTGTAAATGTTTCCGTCTCGAAATCCATTCTTTTATCACTCTTGGACGATGAAGCAGCCAATCTAATTCCACCAACTTGGAATATATAATTTTTTTTTCTGCTTAGACTAAGTTTTTCCGAAGAATGATCCAATTCATGTTAGGCAGAGAGAGAATAAACCCTACACTAAAAAGAAAACTCACATTTTGTTCTTTGTGCTGAAATACCTCAAGGACAATATAAATACTGAATTTAACCATATCTAGGCCCAAATAAATAATTTATGTACTTCAGAAAATGCAAACATTTGGGACTATCACAAAAACAAGGACTTAAGCCATGAAACTGAAATTTATTTTAAAAAATCAGTATCTTGTGTTTCAAATACACGGGTATAAGAAAAATTCCAGAAAGGCAGAAGCACCTTTTCCAAGAACTGTTCCCAGCATGGTCAATACTGATTTCGAAACTGGTTGCTTAGGTCTTGAAGTTCTGTTACCAAGGCATCCATAGCTGCTATTTCATTTGCTAACTCACCGGAAACTTCTCCACTTGTCACATCTGTAAAACGTTGCTGCAACATTAAAAACAAAGCATAACCATCAAAACAATGAAAATCCCTTTAAAATAAAAGATAGCGTACAAAATTAAAATGCCCTTTGCAAAATAACGGCAATAATAGTATTTGTTTGCTTACCATCATGGAAATGTACAACTGTACCAATTAAATAATGAATCAAAACAACATGTCTGAAGTTGTAAATTCAAATGAGCTCTGTTCTGTAAAGCAGTTGTCTTAAATATTTAGTTATTTATTTCAATATTTTACAACAGTTTTGGATGACAGACATCATTCATTCAAACAAAAAACTATTATTAGGGCCGGGGATTTAACTCAGCGGTTTGGTGGCCTGCCTTGCAAGTGCAAGGACTCGAGTTCAATCCCTGGTACCAAAAAAAAACCACCAAAAAAACACGAAACTGTTATTCATTGTGTATACAAACAAAACAAATATATTTTATATTTAAATTCATATAAATCATACCTTTTCGTACTCATTTGAAAATTAATTTTCACATAGGCCTCAGGGATTACAAAGATTACAAAATTGGGTAAAGTTGAAAAAACCTAACAAAATAACAAAAAAATAAGTATGTGCTTCCCCCTGGGAAGCAACATACTTCAAGGATGCTAACCTCACTTAAAAAGACTCTGGAATGCCTTTCTAGGAACTGCTTCCTAAGCCAAAATAGGTACCCAAGAAAATCATTTTTATGACCATAGTTATGCTTCACACACATGACTGTGTGTGTTTTGATCAGAGACATAGTTTATTTAGCTTTCCATACATCTCTCTCCTCAGACTTCACCAGATGATTTGTAGAGCTTTTCATAAGAGATTGACAAAAAAATGCTGCAATGTGGTCAATAGAGGAAACATCTTTTAGGAAAATAACCTGAACTCATATAGCATATTTTAAACTACTACTGACAGTGCTTGCAAATCCTAATGAATCAGCATCACTTCCCTGTGAAGAAGCGAAAGAAACTGAGGCTTAGAAAGAATGAATAACTCGCTGAGTTTAAGAAATGCAAAAATCTCTCCCTCTCCTTTGTCTCCCTCCTTCCCTCCCTCTCCAGGGTTTTTGCCTCTAGGCTCCCTGGCCTCCACCCAAAGGCCCTCATGCCAATCTTGGCAGCAAACCCATACAATGACAGGGTGCTAAGGAGGGGCAGAGGAGTCTCTCTGTCCTGGGACAGCAGACTAGAAGGCATATCTTTGTAAATTTCTTAGCGCTTTAAGGTTTATGTGTGTTTGTTAATAAAGCATTTCTGTGTTTAATAGGAAAGACAAGTTCTAAGAGTTTATTTCCATGAAGTCCGTGTTCCAGCAAGAAAACTCCAGGGATTCATGCAACCCAAGCCTACTGCAAATGACTGAACACAGTTACTTTGATTCACTTTCTTTTTTAAAAAGTATTCTTTAAAAGTGGGTTTTTGAAATGCAATTCAGTTTAGCAAATCTAATTCAAAGAACATAAAAGGTATATGATCTACGACAAAACCAGAGTCTCCAAAATATTATTTACGAAAAAATGCTTTGCATCAGTCGGCAAATTTTCCCTTTTTTTTTTTTTTTTTAATTTGGATGATCCAGTTGGGATCTAGTAACAAAATCTAAATATAAGTGATATTCTGAAGCATCATTTTTAATATTTCAGAATCTATCACAGAAAGGAAGGATGCATAGTATTCTTGCAGACAATGTTATTTAAGTTAAGCAGGTGCAAATTTATGTAAAAATAATAACTTACAAGGAAAAGCTTTGCAGAGATAGAGGGGACTGGAGGAATATATCTGTAGAGATAAACAATTATGCATGGTTTTGTGATTTAATCAAAAGTAGAAAACTTAGCTCCCAATTTGGAAAGAAAAGATACAGAAAAGGCTTGCTGATTTGACTTTCTATGAAAAAGTTCTTGCAGACTTCTGATATGCATAATTCTGGAGTTGTGCTGTCAGGCTGGGAGGAAGTAAGAGTTCAGCTAAATAGAGGTGGAAAGGTGAGTTAACTATCTACAGAGGCAATAATTATGCCTTAATTTGCAAAGATCAAACAATTAGCAAAAAAGACATGCTCTGGAAATTTTTCTACAGAGTAAAAAGGTGTTCAGAAGTGGTTTCTATGTGCCATAGACTTTTTCTCAGAAGTGAATCAAAATTAATTTACAACCCAAGATTAAATGGTAAAAGTAAAGACAAGACATTACAGTACTGAATTGTGCTACACATTATATTCCTTTCAGTTTTTCTTCCAGAGGTATACTCCAAACCCAACTGCAGGAATTTAACAGATTTCCGAAAGCTCACCCAAGATCTGAGTCTACATCCATCACAAACAAAGGTCAAGAACCCAGTCTTCAGAGAGGCTCCTACAGTGATTCGTAGGCCTCCACACGGCACTGGTCCACAAGGTGTGACTCATGAGCACCTGGTAGATGTCAACTGTCAAACCTGAGTCTGCCTGAGCAAGTTCTGTCAAATCCATATGTCACCTACTTAATATTATCTCAGTCATTTTTTACTTAAATAAAAGAAAACATCATATTACAGTTGTTGATGACCAACAGCACTATTCATGAAATTGTTGGTTTTGACGGGCTGATTATACTTTTTCTAAAACGTCTTGAAATAAATATGCTTTAAAATAAAAATTATACCCACAAGCCATTGGTAGCACATATGCCATACCCTGGGAAAAACAGTGGTAAAAAGAAGAGCACTGTTTAAACATTACATTCCAAGACTCCGAAGTTACTCACATTTAAGATAATCTAACCACAGGGCCAATAACACCTTTCAGCACAACCAACCACAGGAAGGGTGTTATATAAAACAGAATATGGGCCTAAAATTATCCATGATGCAAAGACTCGAGAGCAGTAAGCAGGCACTAATGACCTTTTACTATATGATAATCTTAATTCACATGTCGCTCTCACCTTTGCCTTAGATAGTAAGCCCCGTAAATTGAGTCGAACTGAAGAAAGCATCTGTACAGCTTCTTGAGGACTAGGTTTGTTTTCACAGCATTTCATAGCCACTGCAAGATAAATATGAGGAAATCATCCATTAAGAATTGGTCATAATGTATAGCTACAAAAACCAACTATTTAATTATAATTTTATAGTAACTGACTTTGAAAACATTTCTACCTAGAGAGTTTTCATTCTTTCCTAAATTTTTCCTTTATCTTCCTCTCCACACCCAGCCTGGGGACCAAACCCAGGACCTTACACATATCAGGCAAGTGCAAGTTTATTGCTAGGGAGAATCTGGAGGAAAAGAGATGTCTTCGGTTAGTTGCAGATCACCAGGAAGAGACCCTAAACACAGACACACACACACCCAATGTGTGCAGAGACTAATGAAATTAGGCAAGGAGACAAAAATCTTATTGAAAAGAAGGTACCCACAGAGGACATTTAGGGTGGCTTTCCATGGTACCAAGTCCCCAGTGAAGATCACAGTGGCTGGCGACACTAGCCCAACAAGGTGACATGCCAGACACGTGGGCTCATGCTCAACTTTACAGCACCATTCAAGAAGACTTGGTACCTATAACCTATGCGTCTTCACTCAGGGAATGTGACCACGACCAGGCACTAGGGTTCCTGAGCCACACTGGCATCAGCAGGCTGGATATGAGAATGAAGTCACTCATCGCAGACAACTCTGCCCCCAGATCCCACAGGACCCATGTTCCTAAAAGCTGAAATTGTGAGGGGCCTCACTTCTCCTGGCCAGAGGCCCAACAACTTTTTTTTTTCACTTTTTCTCCCATTTTTATTTTTTCATTCGTACATGTTTGTAGAATACAATCATTACACTCCTCATGGGGAGTTGGTGTAGGTACATAACACATTTTAATTTTCTTTTCATCCTTTTCCCCTCCCCTTCCTTTCTCCTCCCTCCATCTCTTGGTCCCCTTGCCTTTTGAAAAAGATCTATCTTCCTATTCTTATTATCTATCTTTTATTTTGCTCTTTATGTTTTGGGTCTCTCATAGAAGAGAAACCATGTAGTATTTGTGTGTCTGATTTATTTCACTAAATCTTATGGTCCCAAGGTGCATTATTTTCCTACAAATGGCTCAAGTTTAGTCTTCTTTATGGCAGAGTCATACTCCGCTGTGTTTCCAAACCACATTTTCTTTATCCATTCATCTGTTGATGGACATACAGAACTGCTCCCAACATTCAGCTACTATGAACTGCGCTGCTGTAAACATGGATGTGCAGATGTCACTGTAATATGATGTCTTTAACTCTTCTGGGAAGATACCTAGAATAGACCCAGCTATTCCTAGCTGGAATCTCTGGTTTTAGTGTTCTGAGGACTCTCCATACTAATTTACATAGTGGTTGTACTAGTAAAAGGACCAACTATTAATGCTTTCTGAAAGCAAGTAAAAACTTCTACACACATAAAAACCACTGATGCGTTCTTTTGTTCCATAAAATTGTGTGCACTAAATTCAAGCAGACTGATAACCAGACCCTATTTTTAAAGTACACCAAAGAGCTAGGCATGGCTACACACACCTGTAACCCCAGCACACTGGGGGACTGAGGCAAGAGAACTGCAAATTCAAGCCCTGCCTGGGCAACTTAGTGACTTAGTGAGACAATGTCTCAAAATGAAAAAGGGTTGAAGATGTAGCTTAGTATGAAGGCCCTGGGTTTAATCCCCAATACCCACCACCAAAAGTATACTGAACAAAGCAAGGAGTAAGTCTCTTTATTTCCTAGATCAGTGATGGCGAACCTTTTAGAGCTTTCGATCATAACAAACAGCCCCCTGGGGCACGTGTTCACCACCCTGCCCTAGATCATGGATGGAACACATCTAATTAATTGCTAGAGGCTTCCTGTACCTGGAAAAATAGTTTTATCATTAATTAATAATATCTTCCCTGGCCAGAATTAATTTGACATTTCTCTTTCAAAATAATGATTAGACTTTGAAATTTCGTAGCTAAATGGTTGAAAAGATGTGTGGTAGTTAGCAATGTTAATCCCATTTTCAGAGGGCTCAGGTGGCCCAAACAGAGTGAGGATTTTGAAGTCTGTTTCTCTGAAAATTGGAACTACTACGGCAGAGGTATCTGGTTATTTAATACCTAGTAGCTTATATCAGAAACAGCTGTGATTCTTTTCTTAATATTTGTTTTCATTTGGAGAAAATACAGCAAAAAGACAAATGCTCTAGTAGTTCTCTCCCATTTCCAAAAGGCATTAAAAATCAGAGGAAGTGGGAAAAAGATAGGGAGAAAGAAAGAGAGAAATAACCTGCTATTCCAAATCATTAGAAAATCCAAGACACGGTACCTCCTTGCTACAGACTGCAGTTAAATACCATAACTGCTATTTCAAAAGTTCCAGGATAGCAAGGAACAAGAGTTCCCAGAAAATAACATCACAGAAACTGTAAATGAACATCCTGCAGACAGTGCACAGGGTGCACCATGACAGCACTGCTAAAGAGGGGTCTCAAATACTTGCTGAGACTGCAAAATATTCCCAAACTTGCGGAAGGGTGTGGCGACTCTTACCAACAGCAACCCAACGGGGGAGCACAGATTTTAAATGTGTTTTATATATATGTTTCCTTTTCAGAATTGAGTGGGGTGGAGGAGGCACAGTATTGGGGAGAAAGACAAAAAAGAACAGAATAAAAGAAAACCCAGCCCACTGTTTGACTGAATGCTGCTGTACAAATGAAACAACGACAAAGTTAAGATTTATTTTTATAAATCTAAAGTACCAACCAGGCAGCAGATATCTACAATCCCAGCTACTCAGGAGGCTGAGGTGGGAAGATTCCACGTGTGAGTTCAGCCTGGGGAGCTAAGACCCTTTCTCAAAATTTTAAAAAGAGCTAGGGATGTAGTTCAGGGGTAAAGCACTTGCTTACCATATGCAAAGCCTTGACTTCAATCCCCTGCACTATAGTCAGTCAATCAGTCAGTCAGTCAGTCAGTCAAAAGTGTCATTACAAACCAAACCCACCACTGACTCAAACATGCCTAAACTGTAAGTCCACTGACACACAATTCATTCAAGTCTAGGGAGAACTTTAAATAACAGACCCTTGTTTTTCTCTAAGAGTTGCCCTGATGGAAAAAAACCAACAACAGTTTAAACTGAATTTTAAGCTTGAAATGAACATTCATCCTGAAGTATTTCTTTAATCTGCATATTTATAGTTGACAGGTTTAACATCAGCACTTGGCAATTACAGAGAATATCTTGGCTTTGACCATTACTGAGCTAGTAGTTCACAGAAAAGTTCAGAGTCTGCAAGTTGAAGTAGATAAGATAAATTCTTAAAAGTAAATCCCACCCTAATTATGTACATTATACACCTTACAGTGGTTTCCCCAAACGTAACACTATATACACAAAGGCCAAAGGCAACTGGCTCCAATCCTCTCTGAGCCCACCCTCCATAAAGCCAGCATAAGTCACAGGAATCCCAGCCACTCCTACATCCTTCCACTAATCTATCAGCGATGACCTCAAACTATTCTACCCGGAATTTCAGCTGTACAAGGGTTCAGCACTTGTACCTTATCTGCCAGTGGCTAGGTGGTCCAGGAAACTGGGTATGTATATTCTTTTTGGTCAAAGATTTCAAAGGCCATAAGTAGAATTATTAACTACCAAGCCCATTTCTAAACTATCTGAATGTTGTGTGTTTTGTTAATGAGCAAGTTAAACTTGATCCTTGTTCTTCCCCTTCCTCTTTTTAGTTTTGAGTCCTTTATTGTATATTACAAATCTTCAACTTCAGAAGACAGAGGATGGGGGTGGGAGGGTGAAGGGTTAACATTTAAACCACATGAAAAATATGAAGCATTAACATAGCCTCATTTCTTTTTCCTAACAACCACAGATAGTTATTATCCTCATTTTGCCTAAACTACGGCTCAGAGAAGTTAAATAACTGAGTCAGTCACCTAGGATACAGGCTGCAGCTGATCCTAGAGCTTTGATGCTGTGGTGGCTACCTGTTTACTGCCATGATTAGTTATGCAGAGATGTGGGAAGACTTTAGGATAGGTTCATAGTCCTGTGATTCAGCTCTTAACACTGGGGCTTCGTTATTTCATGAGAACTGTATTCCCAGGACAATACACACCCATATTCAAACATAAATATAAAAATGCATTACCATATTTAACTGGTGCTTTTTCATTAATGCAAATAATTAAAACTTCTCTTTGTCTGGACTATATTACCCAACTGGCAAACAATTTTCTATGTAAACTCATTTCCCTTCAAATTATACTCTCGAAATTTTCAAAGACAGGACTAGATTATGTTTCGTATTTCTTTTGTATATGTCCTAGCGCTTTAACATAGCTATGTACTCCAGAGACATACATATTTTTATGGAAAAAAAAAAGGTTCACTTCTGGTTCTGGGAATCAAAGTGAGGCTGTGGCATTTGCCAGGCAGGTGCAGCACCGCTAAGCTAAATCCCCGGTTCCTGAAAAATATTTTTATTTATAAAGGAAGAATAGGAGTCAAGAAAAAGTTAACAGATTTCTTTAACACTATGTGATCAACACAGACTATGTGGAGTGAAGGTTATTTACAGTTCTAAAGGTATTTCACCTCTCCAAGTTTCTAATTCCTGTCATTTACTCAAATAATACTGAAGCCTCTGTCCTGTTCCTCCTTACTGCTGCAAATCACCTGCATTGTACTAACTGTGTAAGTCTTCTGAATTGAAAACAACAGCTTCAACATAACAAAGTAATATTTGTAATGGAACTTGACTTTTTACTACTACTTTTTTTTAAAACAGTAAAAAATACATAAAAATATGCCACGGATATCAAGTACCATGTGCAAGCCCTAAGGCTCTTTGAACGACCTCCTTAAATGATGCAATATCTTTCTCCCAACAACTGGACTGGGTGTCACACTTGTATGCCTTTGAGAGATACTGGAACGCCTGAGGGAAGAAAAAGAGCAACATTCAGAATAGCAGTAGAAATCACCTTTGAAACTTCTGGGAAGTCCTCTGGGACTAGTTCCAAGTTGAAAGACCCGAGTCTGTGTTGTACAGCACAGTCTCTATTGCTCTCACCAGAGGGGCACGGATGCTTACTACATAGCAATAAGCAACTACAAGAAACCAATGGGTTGTCTGGACATCTCTGGACTTCTCTATAACCACAACTGTAAGGCCAGGCTTGGACATGTATGAGAAGGGTACTGATTTCCTCACCATCTGCAGCCAAAAGAATGAAGCGAGAACTTGATGAAAACTAAGGAATTGCTGGTAGGAGTGTAACTGCACAAAAGTTTGAAACACTCTTTCACAGCCTTACAGATTCTTAAGAGAGAAGTCACAGGTCAGAGAACTCAAGAGTACCTTTAGTTGTGTATTTGCAAGAGAGAACATAATTCAAGGACTGGAAGGCAGAATGTAGGAGTGTGGGCATGCACACAGGTGACACGCACTCTCGGGCTGAGAGGGCAACAGTGGAACCCAGCTGTGTGGACTAGGGGAGGAGACAATTACTAAGAATCCACCAATTAGCTGTACCCTGGCTAATTCCAAATCCACACAAAGAGTACATCTGATCTGTTGTGGGTGTTTTGAAAAGAAACACAAAACAATCATTCCACCCTTGGAAATTCTGGGAGCTCCTTTAGGTTGGGAGATTAGAGGCTGTGGTACAACCAGTGTTCCAGTGCCCTTGTGATCTGAAAGGGCAGCACAGTCCTGGCAAGGTTTAGACATGTTTAGACTTTCAAAGTCCTTCTCTAGCACCTTTTTTCCCCCTTTCATTTTAGACCTAAACAGGCTGCCTGAGTGGTTAGCAATGAGCTGCAGAAAAGGCTGTAAAGAACAAGAGCCAGTTGCTTGCGGCAGAGCCAGCAGGGGGAGCAGGTTAGAGAACTTTTTGCAGGAAACATAAAGCAACTGTGTGAGAAAAACTCATAAAAATTAAAGGCACAAAATTCGAAGTCTTAACCTGCCCATACGTACTTATAGGGCTGGGGATTTAGCTCAGTAGTTCTGCCACTTGCCTCGCAAGCTCAAGGTTCTGAGTTCGATCCCCAGTACCAAAAAAAGAAGAATCATCAAAGTGGTTATGTTAAGGACAGAATCAAAACCGAAGTTGACCAAATTAATTTTGTCTTTCAGATTGCTGAACTCTTCGTCCAGCCATCAAAACAAACAAGCGTACTGTGTATGTGTCGAACAAAAGGCTTGGGCCTAAGAGGCAAAGGAGGACCTACCTTCTTGTTCTCATCCGGCCTCTCACTCTGCCCATTCCCACACACTTGGGCATACAGCCTCCAGATTTCACCATCGTTGGTTACTCTCGAAGTTACTCTGCCAAATAACTCCTGTAGCTTTCCTTTGAGGCTCGTGGCAACATCTCCACTTCGATCAGGCATCTCCTCAGTCACTGCCCTGACCAGAATTGTAAGGACCTTAATAAAAATGTACAGAAGAAATAGGTAAGCTAGAAACCACCTAGTAGTAACAAGAAACAAAGAGCTACCCATGAACCCCCAGCAGTGCTACTGCCCAGGACCTTCTCAGAAATGCAGAATTCTAGGGCAGGCCTGACAGTATGCACCTGTATGTAAAGCCAGCACTCCGCCATGCTGAGACAGGAGGATGGCAAGACTGAGCCTAGCCCGGGGAACTTATTGCCTTAGCAAGACCCTACCTAAAATTTAAAAATTTTAAAAGGGCTGGGTCTGTAACTCAGTGTGAAGGCCCTGAGTTCAATCCCTAGTACCAAAAAACAAACAAACAAAAACACAACAATCTTGGAGAATGAATAAATTAAAAGTCATCATCCTGAGCTTCTCTCTAGAAGTGCACGTTGACTGACCACCTCTCTAGCTGTCCCTTCTAGGCTTCGGTGCTGGTTCTTTTTTAACCTACCTGTCTATAGCAGAAGTCTGCAGTACATAATGCTTACATTCAGCTGAGGAAGCGGGCGCCTGTACTTAACATCTTCATCCTTTTTATTCCCTTCCCCTGCCCTCTCTCTCCGCTCATCCCTGCAATTCCTTCCTGTTTGCAAAAAGGATCATCATCTGTGTTTTCTATGTCTATCTTTTCTTTTGTTTTAAAATTATTTGTATTTTGAGTTTCTCATATAAGAGAAGTTATGCCACATTATGTGTCTGATTTATTTCACTTAACATTACAGTCTCGAGCGCAGGCTCTCTCACCCCCGTGTGGCGCTCAGCTCTTCTCACCTGGCACACTCTCTCAGAAGACCTGACCCACGCAGTAGCTTCAGAGACACCAAGTCTACTCTGACTGTGTCTGTGCAGCTTTGGCCAGGTTTCTCGCCCTGGGTCTAGCAAGGCCACCAAAAGACCTATGGGGGCGGGGGGGTCAGATCAACACCTCACAGCCAAGAGGGAAACAGATTTCACATCCCTGTCCCTCCTGGTCTCTGGGAGACATAGCTACACGGTTCCCAGGGCCAGTAAACTGGGCACCGATCACTTTCTCATCACTCCCATTTCTGCCACGTCTGACCTCAGGCAACATTCCTGATGAGCCTCTCCTATCTTAGTTTGGGCCTCATTAACTTCTACCTGGAATGCTTCAGGGATCCTTGTGCTACCTAATCACTGAATGATGAGTTGCCAACGCTTTTGCACTAGGCATGTGAGCGAGCACTCAGAAAGTGTCTCTTCACCTTCCCTTTACCACGGGTCAGCTCATTACTTAACCTCTTGGCTGCTTAGAGTTGGTCTCTACACATTCTATTCCAGGTGCTTTGTATGTCGAAGGGTGCATTTAACCTAGTCCCATGGCAGATCACACTGTTATGACAAGGCTGTATCAGAAGATAGCTCCCTGAAGGCCCAGAAAGTGCACCCTTAATCTTAATCTTCCAGTCCTTTGACGGGAGATAGCAAGGGCATCTAGATTCAATTAAAGAGCCAGCTTTAGATGAGTACCCTAAGACCTTGTAGCTCAGTGTATGTGGCCCATGAACCCCCAGCACTGGCATCATCCAGTAGATTCTCAAAATGGAGAATCTTAGGTTAGGCATCGTGGTACGTGCCAGTAATCTCTGCATTCTCGGGGCAGGAGGACTGCAAGTTTGATCCTAGCTTGAGCAACTTAGTGACTTAGCAAGACCTTAATCTTAAAAAAAAAAAAAAGGACAGGGGCTGCATGCAGCTCAGCAGGAAGGCCCTGAATAATCTGCCAGGTTATGCCAATGCCCTTGGCCTTGAAGACCACACTTGAGGAACAAGGTCCCAAGAGACAGGGGCCCACATCTTTATTTTCAGCCTTAACCTCAGGGAGAGGACAACATGACATCACCCTAACATCTAACAGTGTCTGGCACACAGCACTGACTCAGTACATTCTTGTGCCTGAAAAACTGAACAAATAGACTTCATTTGTGCTACGAGAAAAGCAACTAGTGCAACACCTTGCTCTGTCTCCTCGTAGAACATTCTGCTCCACACAAGAGATGCGGCCAAGGAATCCAGCTCCTCTAGAACAAATGCCAATGCTTTTAGGAATGTGAGCTCAGGAGCTGGGGAAGAAGTTCAGTGGCATAATGTGTGCTTAGCAAGCACAAGGCCTGGAGTTTGATTCACAGCACCACCCCTTTAAAAAAAATGTGAGCTCAAATTCTTGGATATATATGTATATGTGTGTGTATACACACACACACACACACACACACGGTTTTATAACTATATATATAAAACTATATATATATATATATATATGTATGTATGTAAAAAGCGGTCAGGAGAACATTTAATTGTGCTTTTTCTTTCTTGTTTGAGCATAATGCATTCTCTCCACCTGTAAATTCAGAACACAATTTCATGTGTAGTTTTAAATCCAAAAGTAACAAAATTATATTAAAACCCATTTGTGACTTTAAATTTGAAAGTAACAATGCAGAAGAAAGAATACGAATGTTCACTGCTTGTTTCCAGTGGTCATCTCCATAAGCATTTCAATATGTTTTGAAAGGGATGGTCTATTAAATAGCTGCTACCATGTACAAAAGAAATACATTAAATGAGTAAAATGCTTTATTGCTTCTGGGATCTCAAAGTTGGTCTGATTAGCCTATCCCCTCAGTTTAGTCTGCGTGAAAAGACAATGAGGGAGAGAAAGCCTTTGATCCTCTGGCCACTAAGAATTTAAATCTGTATTATTGGCATTTGAGAGAGAAACACTTTCTTGTTTCTTTCTCTTTTTATTGATATACGTTTGTAATACATAATACGTAGATTTGTGTGGAGAGAACTGGTACATATTTCTATCACACCTTGATCATCCCTGATCCCTCCCTCCCTTCTCTATCCTTCCCTTACCATCTTATTCCATGCCGACTGCAAAATAGTCTGCCTCCCTGTTTCCTACCATCCTTTCTTTAGTCTTTAATTTATTTATACTTTGAGTTTCTCCTAAGAGAAACCATGTGATTGATGTGTAATGTTTTCTGTTGACTTATTTCACTTAATATTATGGGCTCAAGATCCAACCATTTTCTTGTGAATGACATGAATTTACTGTTCTTACGGCTGAATAAAACTTCATTTATATATGGAGCATATTTTCTTTATCCATTTGTCTGTTGATTGGAATCTAGGTCGTTTCCAGAGCTTAGCTACTATGAACTGTGCTGCTATAAGCATGGGTATGTATATGTCACTGAAGTAGGATGACTTTTAACTCTTTCAGGAATACACGCAGCAGAGGAGAAACCCGGTGATGTGCATGTGCCTGTGTGCGTGTTGCAGTGGGATTTGGGGGTAAAGAGAACTGTAGGCAAGAACACTCTTTTGGGAGGGAGCGGGAAGGGAGCTGTAGGTAGAACAGGTACAAAACCACCTCCTCCCAGGTTATATGCAGATGCCAGGAGAAGTGAGACATGATGGACAGGGATCCTCCTGCTCTGCATGTTCAGTGGCCAGCTGAAGAGCGGGATCTGGACTTAGAAAAGAGTTCTGAATGGAAGAATAGAAAACGAGAATAATTTATGACCATAGCAGATATTGCCTAGAGACTATGTTGAGTAAGAATAAGGTCGAGGATGGGATCTTAAGGAACACAACATTTGAGAGAAGGGCAAATGAACGGAATCCACTAATGGACAAACAGGAGTGGCCAGAAAAGGTGTGGGGGTGATGTCATGGAAACCAAGGAAGGAGAAAGTCACAAAGAGAGGGCATCTACAAAAGATCGTGACTGGGAGACTCCTCTGGACCTGGCAGGCACAAGGATTAGCAGCCAGAACAAGGAGGGCAGGAGAGATCATGATTTGAGACAAGGGACTTACTAAGAGAAACACTCGGAAACCAAGACATCATGGAAAACAAAGAGCAAAAAGCAAAAACCTCGCTGCAGTAGCGTGACACTCAATTTGAGTATCAAGCCCTCCCTTGTGCGCCTCTGTGCATGCCACTCTGCTGCAATGGACAGCCTCCAAGGAAGGGTTGGATCTGTTCCCCTACCTTTGTTAATAACCACCATGCTTCAAGTCAGGGCTACAGCTATAATTAGATATACTTGGTTAAGACGAGGTAAAGACAGACTAGGGAGGGCCCTAAATTCAATGACAAGGCCTGAAAATTACTCCAATGGTTTCTTCCTACAAGAAGGGAACACACAGAGAGACACAGAAGATGGAGATAAAGGTGGAGCTGGGCCTCCACAAGCCAAAAAACTCTTTTAATAAAATAGAAAAGGAAGGAATATTATCAAAGTTATTCCTGGAGGCTAGCATTACCTGATTCCCAAACCACAGAAGGATCCAAGAAAAAAACAAAACTATAGACCAATCTCTTTAATGAACATAGATGCAAAAATCCTTAAGATACTACCAGCAAATAGAAAGCAAAAATTATCAAAAAGATTATATATGATAATTAAGTAGGTTTCATGCAAGGGTGGTTTAAGAATGCAAATCAATAAATATAATATATCACACAGAAACAAGAGCAAAACTCACGTGATCATCTCAAGAGATACAGAAAAGGCCTTTGACAAAACCCAATATCCATCCATGAAAGAAAACAAGAAAATATAGAAGGGCCTTATCTCAATCTGATAAAAGTCAAACTCACTGCCAACATACTGGAGAAAAACTGAGAATTTTCCTTCTAAAATTAGGAACAAGACAAGGATGTTTATTATTACCACTCCTCTTCAACACAGTACTTGAAACATTAACCAGAGAAACCAGGCAAGAGAAAGAAATGACAGGATATGTACAGGAAAGGAAGGAGTCAAATTATCATTATTTGGAGATGATATGACCCTCTACACAGAAAACCATAAAAATTCCACCAAAAGACTCCTAGAACTAATAACCAATTTCACCAATGTAGCAGTATATAAAATCAACACACAAAAATCAATAGCATTCCTATATCAGTGTAGGCCTAGACTTTCTGAAAAGAACCCCAATTGAAGAGAA